TAAAGGAGGTGTGTGTATACAGTGACACAGTACACACTATAGTAGGACATTTATATATCAGAGAGGTTTATTCCAGTACAGCATTGTGACTTCTTCACAGTTATTGAAATAATTCGATTTGAATAATGAATGGGAATGTAGATTATAGACTTAGAAAAGCCATCTGGTTATAAACTTTCAATATCAAAATGCATTTACTGACATTAAAAGTCACATTGTAGATAATGTAGGCTCTTCACTAAGGTCTATTATCACATTCAATTATGAGCGCTTTAGTGTCTGAAACCATTCCTGTAGCTTTTCATTCTCTTCTCCATTTTCCCCTCTCCCCACTAATTAAAACATCCATACCTGCTTCTTTCGCCCACTGGTACAGTGCCATTAGACAGTGCAAATGCCAAGCGACGTGTCTGTTTCACCTTCCCAACCCTGGTTTAAATGTTAAACCTGATAGCTGCGCACTAATGAAGTCATCAAGAGAGGAGGTCAGGGGGGAATAGCGGGAGGAAGGAGGAGAGGAAATGAGGGAGAGGGCGAGCGCCTCTATCAGCAGAGCCAGAGCACAGGGAGCCAGAGTCTGACACCCATTACAGTAATGAGTAGGGTACAAATGCTCCTGCTTCAGATATAATCACAAAGGGCAGAAACAATGTAGAAGGACACTTAACTCGGAGCTGAAAATACTTATTGCCTGTGTGGTTCCTAAAGTGAAAATGTGCTATGGAAACACTTCATTCTTTACAGCTATACTCATCACACTGCTTTAGCAACACAGTTCTGTAAAGGAGGTTTACTGTGAAAGGGAAACTATATATATATAGGGAAATATAGATACAAATCATAATGAAATGCAGAAAAATAATGAAAAAAATATAAACATTAACATATCAAATGTGTAATAATTTAAGATAAATTAACAGCTTTGAACGTTTCTATGTGTCTAAAGGATTTATGTCCTTTTGTTAAAGTTTGGCTGGCTGGCTATTTCTATATTCTCAAATTAATTGCTCCAATGGGCAACAGAGTCAGACTCCTGAGTAATAGCAGTTTAAAAGACATGTCAACTATATGTAGTTTATCCCTGTGAGGTGCTTGATTTTGTCTCTATCTCTGCTCCAGGAGCTGCAGCCATTTCTGTCCAGGCAGAGGGAGCAGGAGGCGGGTGTTCAGGCTTCAGAGCCCATGGTGCTGCGCTACCCCCTGCCGTACCCTCAGGACCCCTCTCCTCCACCCCTGGTTCCTCACAGGCCGGCTGAGCTGCAGTACGGCAACCCCTACTCCACTGACACCACTAAAGGTGAGAGGAAGTCAAAAGTTGACAAATAATTCATTTTGTGTTATCTTCAAATCTGCAGTTGCCTGTTCTTCTTAAAGGGACAGTCTTCCCCAAAAATCCAAAATATGGGTTTTTTCCTACCTGAAGTGTATGTATCCATTTAGGTTGTTTTGGTGTTAGCTGCTGAATATTGGATGTATCAGACATAGAAATGTCGGCCTTCTCTCCAATATTAAGGAACGGGATGCCAATGGGATTGTGGTGCACTGTCCCTTTAAGTCATGCTGCTGTTTGGTCAATAACACCATGTGTTACTTTATTCTAGACCTGGTGGATGTTGCGCTGTCTCCTGAGCACATGTCCCGTCCTCCACCTGAGGCCCCACCCTGCGCCCCTCCCTGTGCACCCCCAATCACACCCCCGAGCCCAGGCCCCGGGGTCCCAGGCTGGGACCGAGAGGTGGTCTGCATCCAGCCCTCCCGCAGCACGAGCCCCCCCGAGAGCCTGGATAGTAGTCCGGAGGAGCTGCAAAATGTAAGTGAATATAAACACATATACAGGTTGGATGCTAAATGCTAACAAACTAAAATCCCTGCCTGGTAGGAAATCCATTAGTAAGACAAAATAACAGTCCTTTATAAGTATCAATTAAGGCGTCACTTGTGTAGAATTATGCAGAACACTTTTTACTTCTCGCTCTACTTTAAGACACGGAAACATGTTAAAGTGCCGTATTTGATCACACTATTAATTTGCTCTCAATACAGCAGTACCTCTGATATTATAGGACCAGCCTTTGCCTTCCTTCCCCTCATGTCGTGTTTTCAGTATCCAAAGCATTCCTGTCGGAGTGATCCCTCTCTCTCTTTCCGTCTCTGGAGTTCTCCTCCTCTCTTAATGAAGGGAATAGTAGCTTGCCCTTAAAAATAAAGCGATGAGCTCATTTGCATAAGGCTCTAATTAACGTCACTCCCTCAGAGCTCAGGAGAGACGAAGATAACAAGGGCTTGGGGAGTAATTAGGGGGGATTTTGCAAAGGGACAGACCCAAGATCAATTAGAGTCTCTGGGATTATAAGTTTTTGTTTGGTAGCAAACTGAAGAGATGCTAGTAAGGAAGGTATTTTGTAGTTCTTTAAATAGAAACAAAGCTTTAATGGCTTTAACCCTTTCAATCCATATTTTCCTTTTTTAGTAAACAACCTTTTAAGATAGTGTTTGTGTGTGTGCTCTATGAGCAAATAGATGGCCATCAGTTTCTATCCTTTTGTATGCAATTTTGTTTTATAGGCTGCTGCTGACGGGGCTCAGCCGTCCTGTGATCATCAGTCCGGTAGACGTAGAGAAGCCAGGGGCAGCTTCTGCTTTGACTCCAGGTAGTGTGCCTACACACACACATACATAGGTAGACTGATGTACAACAAGCAAAAATAAGGACATCAATAGACAGCAATAGACAGCAAAGAGAAGTTACTACATCTCAAAGTTAGTGTCAGAGGTGCGTTAGAAAAGCCAACATCAAAAGAAGGTTGCGGTTTTCGTGCTCATGTTTACCTTAAAGGTTGAATTTTCCACATTTTTTCTTCAGTTTCTTGTCAAATGTCATTTCTGTCCATTAAAACTGGGATAGGCAGTACATTGTTAGCATTACATTGGGTCACATACGAAAATAACATTGAAGCATATTGAAAGTCTGGCTGGGCTTTTTGGCTTTTCCAAAACTGCCTGCACTTCAAATTGAAGTGTTGAAAATAAACTGCTTGCCCCAGCTAAATCTATGTGGTTGTTTAAATCTAAACAACCACAGCTTTCTGTCTTTCAGTTTGTGCAGGAAATAAACAACATAGAAGTTCTAAATTCATAGTCAAAAACATGATGTCAAATGAGCAAGAATATCTTGAAAGATGCATAAAACGTTACTTTGTGCATCTGTGTATGCACATGCATCGTTTGTATATACAGTATATTTACAATACATACATGCCATACTGTACGTTGAACAGATCTACGCATTGTCTGTTAAGGATGTAAATGCAAGATGTTCACAAACGCTGCAGTCTAATTGACCTTAATGGATTAGCATACAGAATAAGTTAGTGTACACATTACTAGCATTTGAACTCAAAACTGACATCTCTCCTCCACTCTCCTTTTCTCTCCAGTAGTGTTCACAAGCGCTGCCCGCTGTGCGAGGTGATCTTCCCCCCCCACTTCGAGCAGCGCAGCTTCGAGCAGCACGTGGAGAGCCACTGGAAGGTCTGCCCCGTCTGCTCCGAGCAGTTCCCCCTCAACTGTGAGCAGCAGCTCTTCGAGAGACACGTCCTCACGCACTTTGACGGCCACGTGCTCAACTTCGACCAGATCGAATGAAAGGCGTAAAGGGCACATTTTAAATCTGACATACCGTGTGGGTAAATGTGTCGTCAGCTTTTAGTTCATTTCGATTGGGTTAAGTTGTCTTGTTATTATACAATCATTAGCACTTTTTTGCAATCTTGACAAAGGTTAGAAGGAATGTAGTCCACTTCTGAGAGGAAGCGGAGTTTGTCCCGTGGCTACCAAGGTGTTTTATTAAGTAGGGTAGCTTAATACATCATGGGTAAAAGGACCACTCGGGAAGAGTGCCATGGTCTTTTACTTTTGTATCATTTTTAACGCTTCTCTTTCTGCTTTGAGAAAATAAAGCACCATCAGTAGTGCATGCAATTATTATGTGTTCAAAAGGACAACATGAAAGCAGTTCAAGCTGAAAGAGTGAATAGTAGCAGGAGCTTGAACCAGAAGAGAAAGTATTTAAGTATGTCCCTGTTATTTAACTAGCCTGGGTATTATTATCTCATGTGATGAAGCAGCCAAGATATATATTGTCTACATGTTTCAAAGCTGAGGAAGGCAGAAAGGAATTATTTTGTGTAAATGCAGAGTGAGATCTGAATATGTGATGTCTTAAAGAATCATCAGAGTGTGTATATTTATTTGAAGAGAGGTGAGGTGGAGATTTTGTTGACTTGAATGGGAAGAGATCTTGGATTTCTCCCAAAAATACAGTACTAATGTACGTGTAACAGACATCAGAAGGTTCAAACAAAAAATGTATCTGCACTAAATAAGGCTTTATTCTGAATGTACTGTACATATGAAAATAAGTATAAGTTGTGGAGAGACCTGTGACTTACTGTCGTGACTCCGCCTCCCCTCATTGTTACTTCTTCATGTTTTAGTGTTGAAAGAATGGCGGACTGTTTTTTACTTTGGTCAGGTGGTGAGAAACTGGGCTGGTCTCTTTGTGTTATTGGAGATTCTGTCATGTTTTAGGCATATACACTGCAGGACATGTGACAACAACTTTTATTGTTATGTACTTCCGCGTTTTAAAGTTTGAACTGTGATGAAAAAAAGTCATTGCTTTGTGTGCGAGGTCCAGATCATGAGTGAGTGTCATTTCTATGTGTGTCTCCACGGGGCTCCACATCACCGCTTGTCTATTTTCTGTCATTTCAAAGTGACCCCTGACAGTGTTGTATTCAGGCTTTAAAAATTGCACATGCCCAGTAATCACAAGGCAAATGTGTGTGTATGTCATGTGTCCGACGCAGCCCTTTTCATGTGAGAATGTCAGGACGGTGGTTTAAGTGTGTACTGCAAAGATCTTTACGAATAAAGTAAGCTTGTCTAAATGCACCCCGCTGTAATGTTGTTTTATAAAGAAATAACATCAGTACATATACAGAATGTTTAACTTTATTTTTACAGGTTTTTTTCAGTCATTTCCTGTTTACATTTAGGCAGCTTCTCTTTTATATAGAAAGACAGTTTGACATCATTTACAAGTCACTCTGCTCAGGACCTGTTGTCCCCCCCATACAAAAAGGAAACATTGGTCTCCACGTTACATACGAAAATATAATTTAAAAGCACTTGACAACAGACACGTTACAATACATTCACTGTACACAGTATATTGAAACCCCGCCCTCGTCTTCTCCCTCTGCACACAGCCTCCGCTCCTCCTCTCCCACATGTGTAATTCTGCAATTGGCCCCTGTGTAGAGCTGAAACGATTGCCATGGTGACGGGGGGGCGTCCGTGTGAAGCAGGGATGGTTTTACGAGTGTTTGACAGAGCGCCAACGGGAGACTCTCAGTCTGCGTCCATCCCAGCCACGGAAACGCTTCCCCTACGCTGAGAGGCAGGAATGAAGCTTTTCTATCGCACGCAAGCCATTATCTCAGGGTTACTGTAAGGGTAGTAAGAACACAGACGCTCTTTGAAACTGATACCAAGATTTTAGAGATCTAGGTACTTATTGGTGCTTAAGAACAGACTTGATGTCTTTTTTCAGGCACACATATTTGTGCTTATTTGTTAGGTAGCACACTAGTCAAAGGCATTGTAAGTACAGTACAGATGCATGGTAATCACTATAATAAAACAGGATATGACGGAAAAAAAAGGTGGTTAAATATTGTTTATTTAACCACCTAACTAAATTAAACTACAGGAAAATCTTCTTGTAAAATCAAGGGTAATCAATCTGAAAGAAATCTTTCATACTATTCCAGATGTTTCCATGGCAACAAAAGCTCGGAGGACAGGAGGATGTGTGCATGTCTGAGGGTCGTTTTACCCCTCAAAAGAAAAAAAGGAGACGCTCGTGCTTTGAGACTTCTGCAGATTTAAAACGTTGTGCACGATGAGGGGAAATGATGTCATGGATCGATGTGTGTTGGCACGCGGCGGCTGCACAGCGCCGCTTTTGTTTTTCTTAAGAGACAATGAATGATGAAATCTCAGTCAGGGGGGGGGGGGCAACAAGTTGGCCAGCGCTACACTACATGAGGCAAAAACACCGCCAGTTGTCCTGCTCCACAGGAGACCAACCGGCTGCCTGGCACAGAAAACACAAGACGCAGAAACACGCAGAATACACAAACACTCTATATGCTGATGACTTGGATACTGCTGAGAAATACACAGGCATACATATCACACACACATGAAGTCAATGAACTGGAATGCTCTTGTCTACAACAACAAATAACAGGTTGTAGGTGGTAATCTCTTTCAATACAAATCTTTTTTTTTCCTTCTCGTAACGACACAAAAATGCATGCATGAAAACATTCTGTCGACGTACATCCACTCATGCGCACATTTTGGAGGCGCGTTGAAGAAGAAAATCATTGCCACACGTTTGGCGAACTCCAGGGTGAAACTATTACAGCTGCCTCACCCTCCCTCCCCCCCTCATCAGGCACATGGTATGGTCAATGTTTGGCAGTGGAGAGCTGATGGCAACATCATGGGAACAAAACACAACAAAGATCTTGGCAACTGGAAATACAGCATGATGGCAGTCACCACTTAGTCTCTTGAACACAGCTCTGGCACTCTGAATGAGGAAACACTGGAGATATGAAAAACATGGTCGGCTTTCCGGAGCAGATGAAGCGTTTCAGATATGGATTGTTGGCCTGGGCCGTGTTATAATACGCTGTCCTGAATTAAAACATTGATTCAGAGTAACAAACAGAAAGGCGTTTTGGCTCCTTATCTCTCGGGGGCGGGGTGAGAGAAAACTCTCCGAACCCGGCGTCAGCCAGCTGTTTGACCTTTGACCTCTGAGGTGACAAAACTGGCCGTCTCAGCAATTTAGGAATTAAAGGAACACTTACTGATACATAGAAAGAATAAAACACTGACAAAAATATATAAAATAAAGCTTGAAAATAAAGTGTAACTATTTATGTATATGCTAATGAATACTTTTATATATTTTTATGTACACATACATATCTGTCTATTGTTTATATATCAATAAATCTATTTAAAGTATAACTTGACTCCGGCACTCAAACCCCCAGAAGTTACTGCGAAGGCACAGATCTGAGATCAGCTAACTCTCTGCATAAACGGAAAGGGAGTGTAACGACTACTGAACTCAGATCAGCTGTAACGTCAACTTCATGTTAGGGGCAGGGCTTGGTTGCACTTCCTGTTTCACATCTTCCCCAGTTTCTTTCATGTCGTTTGTTTTTGTTTCTTTTCTTTCTGTTTTTTACAGTTAGCACCTTATGTAAATCAAACAATAGAGAACAAAATAACGTGATAGTATATACGAATGTGCAAATGTACAACAATAAAAATACTACAAAGATATATTTTTTCAAAAATACAAGTGATATAAAATGGATAGAAAAAAATATGTAACATACAAACAATTATATGAAAAAAGAAAATTAAACTTAAAGCACGCACTTGACCCTTTAGTGTTGGGATGAGTGTAAAGGGTGGGTAAGGACAGTCAGGATAGGGCTATGTTCGGGCTCTAACCCTGAATCTTGCGCAGGATCTCGGTGGAGACGGGCGGGTGGAAATTGATGGTGTGATGTCTCAGGCCCTGCGAGGTCTTGTAGCTCTTGCCGCAGCGACACTTAAAGGGTTTCCTCACGCGGATCTGCGTGCGGTGGCCATTCTTGGCATGGTACTTAATACCATTCACATTCTGAAGAGACAGGGAAGAAAGAGATTCATTACGAAAGGGGAAGCTGGGTAATAATTGTACCAAATAGAAGCTTTAAAGCTCACTATCTGCAAGTGCACTTTTACACACTTGCAGATAGTGAGTATACTGTTTGTAGAGTTCAATATTTTATGTATCATTTATTAAGTTAAGAAGTGCTGATAGGTAGATTATTTATCTTTAGATGGAACCAGGCTAGCTTTTTATCTGGTTTCCTGTCCTTATGCTAAGCTAGGCTGAGCTAAGCTAAGCTAACAAGCTGCTGGCAGTAGACTGCACTTTAGTTTTAGTAATCTAAATGTGTATATTTGCTTAACAGAGTTAGTCCCATGCTAAATTAATATAAACCAGCATGTTTACACTAGAAAACATTGGTGTCCTATCAAATGATCATGAAATGTTTTATTTATAGGTCATTTTATTTTATTCATATTAAATGTGCAGCCTTGGCCGCTGTTAGTCATCCTGAAGTCCACATATTAAATGACTAATGATACTGATAAAACTGATTAGTATATAAACATTCTACAGTTACTTTCTTAAGTTAAGTTCTACTTTATATCTATATATCGTTATATAAAGCTGAACAATATCAGACTGCAACAAACCCTGGTCACAAACTGGGTGGAACATTTAGATTTGATTACGCGTGTGGACCCATTCAGATGGTCAGCAAATGTGACTTTATCCCATGACACTATTTTGGTCTAAAAAGTTACAAAATGAATGAGAATTTTCGTGACCAGCTGTAATAAAAGTCAACCAAAGCAAACGCAACATGATATATTCGTCACTGCTTATGTCATTCTTGATTTAAAATGTGCTTTTTCCAAATGATAAATTCCAGACATGTGATGCCAGAGACAAAAGCTTCAATGTGGGCTTTACCAGAAATAACCAGCAACAAGATTTGTTCTGCTGTCGCCGGGCAGACGTTACCGCAGCATCAGGAGAAAGACCTTCAGACTCAGGGATAGTTTTATCCCACAGACTGATAAGCTCTTGAGCTCTGGGAAATGGAATAACTTACTTATCTATAGAACATCTACAGTCTAGATATTTATTCATTGACTTTTACAAAAAGCTGTATTTATTATTTTTATTTTACATTATTTTTAAATGTTATCTTACTATACTTTAGATTTTTTATAATTAGTTTATTTCTGCATTTTACTTGCACTGCTGTGTCGCTTGCGCTATTTTATTTCTTCTTCTTTAATACTGTATATTATGTGTCGTACTGTTGGAAGAGCATGGGAATTATATTGTAGCTATTAAGCATTTGACACTAAAGCTTTTAGCCGGGCCGCCTCTCAATCCTCGGTTCGGCCTTACCTTGTATCTCTTCTTGCAGCCGGGGACGGGGCAGGCGAACGGCTTCTCCTCTCCCCCGTTCATGCACATGGAGCTGAGGATGGACTCGGAGCTGATGGCGCTTTCTGTGGTCCACGACTCATCGCTGTCCGACTCCTCGTAGTCTACCTCCTCCTCATCATACTCACTGCCTGAAGGCACAATGGAGACACGCAGAACAACAAAAACGCTAGTCATCCGGGATGAAATATGGATGGGGAATGGCCAAAAATTCATCATGCTTTGGGAATTTAGCAAACAGAAAATTATTTGTGGCTTTTTATCAATATAACTCTCTATATTTGGCTCATATTTCATGCATTAGCAGCCCACATGTCGCTGAGAGCAATGTTGATACAAAAAGGCAATGGTGCACTGTGCATGTGTGTGTGTTTGTGTGTGTGATTGTGTGTACACATGTGAGTCAAAATGCAAGGGCTGGCACTCAGAAAGAGATCATTAAGTGGGAGTGATCCCCATTGCTCAGCCTGGAAAAAGTGCTTTGCTAAGTGCAGAACATTTTCCACTCACACACACACCCACATACCACATTACTGAAATGTTGAGGCACACACAAACACACACTTAAGGCCCACTGACCCCCCACCATCTCACAGGAAATGCTGCACCTCAGCATGAGGAAATGGATGGCACCCTGGCACATGTAGAAAGAGAGCGTGTGTTGGTGTGTGGATGTGTGTGTGTGTGTAGCCGTGCTGGTGTATAGGCCCAGACCTAACACTACGTTTGGAACCATTTGGGCTGGAATTGGACATCTGCTTCTGGGCTGTGCAACACACGGCCCCATGCGAACACACAGCGTGACAGCTGCTATGTAATTAGCAGAGTGTTGACTGGTCTGCTCACTGTAGGAGCCCCTAGTCCCAACAAACAAAACACACACACACACACACACACACACACACACACACACACACACACACACACACACACACACACACACACACACACACACACACACACACACACACACACACACACACACACACACACACACACACACACACACACACACACACACACACACACACACACACACACACACACACACACACACACACACACACACACACACACACACACACACACACACACACACACACACACACACACACACACACACACACACACACACACACACACGTTGGGCTTTAAGCCTCTTTCAGTTGCTATTTTAATTAAGAGAAATTAAGGAAATGTTGAAATTAAAACATCCACAATTATTGTTAGTTTAAAGTAAAACATTTGAGGTTTTCAAACATGTTAAAATATTTAATTCCACTGTGAATGAGTTTATTTATTTCTGCGTTTACTTGTCACTTGCAACGTTCTCTTGCACTATTTTATTTGTATTTCTTCTTGCCCTTTTTTATTGTTTTATGTCCTTTGTATATTTATGTAGAATTGTTGGAGGAGCCTGGGACTTAAGCCAAACCCACACTGTAGCTAGTACATTTATGACAATAAAGCCTCTAAATCTTGCATTTTTTTATATTGAGGTGAGCGGGCTCCTGTTTTTGTTTTTTACATACTTTTTAGAAATATTCTGAAGTAACCAGGTATGAAATAAGCTGCCTTCCTTGCCATTTACGTGACAAATATCTTCATTTGCTCATCAGTATGCTGTCTGAAGTTGATCAATGAGCTCCTGATGGCTCAACCATTACGGTGTGCATTAGTCATTTTCAACACTCCACAAATACAAGCAATCCGTCTTTCTTTGTACGCACATTTCGACACACACACACACACCTGTCGTACCTGTAGGTGTGCTGCTCCGGAAGGAGGAGGAGGGGGTGATGGGGGGCGTGACGGGAGGCGTCAGGTTACCGCTGGTGTGGCGAGGGGGCGTGGCCGTGCTGTTCCTGGACACTCCTCCGGTGATGGACAGGGACAGTTTGGGAGCGACCTTCTTCTTCATGGTTTCCTGCTCCCGGCGCGCCGCATCTGTCATGAACCTAAAGCACGCAAAGGGGGTCATAAGTAAATCCCACGACAAGTCAGTAAATCTGATATAATTTACCAAAAGGGTTATTACCAAAAAAACAATTTTAATGTTAACTTGGTGGATATACTAAAATGCCAAACTATACAAAAATGTGTGTATAATTGTTTTAATCGATCATAAAATGTCCCTTTGATTATCATTTATTACACGAAGAATAATTCTGGTTTGTTAAAAATTATTTCCCAATTACAGTTATGGTACAGCTTTAAGAGTTACATTTAAGCACTTTCAAGGTACCTAAATCAAACATTGCAAGACTCCAAAAGTTTATAATGTCAAAGTGTTTTTATAAATGCAATATGGAAAAATAAAGTTGACAGGATATCTTTAAAGAGAAATAAACGTAGCGACCAGATTGTTTCATTTTAGGTATTTAATTATTTTTGTTTGTATGAGTGATTATGTGGACTAAACATCAGATTATGTTAAAAATCACGCATTTTCTAAAGAACACATTTAAGGCCTATTCCTGCCTTAAAACCATAACAGTTAGTCATTTACTACAGAAAGACTGATGGGGTGTTACACAAGCAGTGAGATCAACTGACTGGGTGCAGGACTGCCAGTGGCAAGCCACATTATTTTGAGGGAAAACCAAAAGTGAGTGTACATAACATGTTGGGAATAATCCCTCATTAAACTGAAAACTCTGCTCGTACAACTACTGTAAATTAGATGGGGTGATTAAAGCTGTGGTGGATGGTTATAACAGAGATTTTGGGTAATACTCTTACCTTTGTTTTAGTCCTAAAAATAAGGGTTGTTTGTTTGAAGCCTGTCTGATCTGCTTAATGCTGGTGTGTCCTGACCCAACTTACTTCAATTTAGCAAGGTTACTGAGTTCACAGATCTTAGTAATTTCCTAGATGAGTAGAATGGTTTTATTACTGGAAGAAACCATGATCAAAACTACAAAAAACATGTGGAATTACATTGATAAATCATAATTACTTTTTTATTTTCTACTGGTTTGTGCTTCGTGTTATTTTTTTCTAAAACCGGGGCATTTAAGCTTTCACACATTATTGCTATTCTGTGCACGTGTGCTATGAGAGCGTAAACGTTAGACAAAGACATAATTGAGATGCTGAACGAGCGGCTCCTTTAAATATACAGTCATCACAACATTGTACTGTAAAAACAGTTAGCATTTACAACCTCACCACTTGAAAACCCCAGAAATGTCCTAACTGTCTCTGTTTTACCTTCTTCTTCCTCAATGTTGCATCTTTGAGTGATTTAACGGGGCATTGAGTGGGACGTGACACATTGGTTCACCACATACAAACAGGCAGAAATCTTTAAAGGCTGCCTTTGGCTTGGCCGTCTGCAGCGCAGGGATTTAGGAGTGATTGTCTTGTGTGGTTTTCTGAGCTAGTCTGTGGATGAGTCAATGCTGTGTCTATGGGAAGACATCAGTCATATGCTCTCCGCAAGCCACATGTACTGTAGTACACACACATCAAGACAATACTTTCACTGGTGGAGCAATGCTGCCCTCTATAGACGGACACCTTTGGTTGTGTGTGTGTTTGTGTGTGTACCTGTTGATGTAGCTTAGGGCCAGGTAAGTGGGCTGCTGTTGCTCCTGCTTCTCCAGGACCCGCGGATCTGTGTCTGAGAAAGAGAGAGAAGGAGATATTAAGATTAATCATTGCTCTGTGGGAAAAAATGTTTGAGGGAATTTTCTTAGTATGTAGCTGACTCATACATCCATTATTCCTGCCAGACTGGCTCATAGATTACAGGATGTTTCTCACACTGAGTTCTCTGTATCAGTCCATAATATGCGAGAGCCCGCAGATATATTTGCGGACACTTTCATAATTGGCACATTATCACGCCAAGTTCCTGGGATTTATTACCAAAGCCTTTCCAAAAAAGGTTGATTAATCATCTTCGGAGTGTGAAGAAATCTGTTCCGAGAGTGAAAAAGCGAGTTGGACTCTGTAATGAATGTACACAGTGTATTACTCCAAACACACACACATGCTTTCTTCAGTTGACGTGCTGGGTCAGTAACACTACAGTAGGCAACTTCCACTGCCCCAGGGAAGTGGAGTTAACTTCAAAGCCCCACCTCTCACCCCCTGGAAAACAGGAGCAAGTGTGCATGAAAACACTGCGGGTGGGTGCATGTGTGTAGAACCAGTGCCATCAAGTGTTCAACGGGGGAACATTCAGAGGGATCCACACTATGAAAAGAGGACTTGGTTATAGCCATGGCGTGCATGGCTATGTCTGAGTGAGTGCATGTAGGCATAATTGCAGCTTTATGTGTAATGGCTAGCAGATGTATTGCAATTCAGACCCGAGAACTGGATCATCTCTGTGCAACCATTAAGAACACACTCCTGGACGCTCCTTCCAACTACTAATCCCAAGTGTGTGTGTGTGTGTATGTGTGTATGTGTTGGCCTTCTTAGCCCTTTAGTTTTCAGGCTTTCACACCTCATAATTAAAAAAGAATGCAGACTTCCCACAGTGCAGGAGAACACCAAGGAGACCAGCAAACACGAAAACAACCTAGAAAGAAAAGGCACACTGCTGGTGCGTAGACCAGAGTCTTGTAGATTTTAGTAAATTTAAAACATTTAAGAGGCTAGCTGAGGAAACTAGATAGCAGGGGAATGCATGTACAAACACACAGACACACAGGCTCACACACAAACATCTGCGGTGGTCCACACAGGTGGTCTTTGACAGTCTTTTATAGCAGAGCCTTAATAATCCTACCTGCTGCTCAGACGTGGAGACCAGAGCTCTCTGCATGCATGAACATATCCGCACGCACACACACACACACACAAACACACCTTGACCTACACCACTGACAAGGCTGAGTCATGATACATTACATTGAGACTTAATGGTATCTTTAAAACCCGTTAATTTGAATATGTTTGAAGCTTGCCCAATTTGTTTTCTGTAATTATATATATTTATATGTGTAACAAATTATGTGTAATATGTATCCAAAGAGGATATTTAAAGACAATAATTTAATTAAGTAAATGTGTGTTATGTAACCAAATAGGTCAGGCTATTCATTGCACTTTTAATATGGCTGAATAAAGTGTAATGTAGCCCTCAGGACAAAGAAAAAGGAAAACTGGAAGGGCACTGCCAAAGCTGTTTCTATAAGTGGAAAGTAGTTTGTGTATCTGCCCGGTGATTCGGATCTAAAATGTAATGGGTTCTTACTTAGCCCCAAATAAACCATACCAACAAGTTTCCTGAAAATCAGGCCATTAATGTTTTCAAACCAACAAACCAAATTGAAAACATGAGCTTATTGGTGGATGTACAAATTAAAACAAAACTGATTATTTCCACGGCGGAGTTTCCAACATTTTCTTTTTAAAAGTCCATATTCACAAAATGTTTCGTTTACAATTCTTGTGACAAGAGTGGAAGGAAGCTAAAATCCTGTTAAGCAAATGTTTGACACAAAGGTATCAAACAACAAGTACCAGAATGAGAAATGCCAGAAATGATCATTTGGGATGTACAAGGGACTCAGGTTTTTGCTTTGAGATGAGGTAAGTGTGTGTATGTGTGTGTAGAGAAGGGGGAGGGGGGCAGGGTGTTGGTGGAAATGGAGTTAGCCAGGTGCAGAGAGAGAGCTGCAGTAAATGTTCACCGGCTTTATGACTTCCACTCACCTAGCAGGACAGGAAGCTAACACACTGCTGATACTACGGCTGGAGCAGGAGGGGACCTACACACACACACACACACACACACTCACATCCACACACACACACACACGGTAAGCTATATGAATATCAATTTCCACTGATTCAATTTGCACGTTTTACATTTAACCTAGATTGCCACAAGACTATTTTGTGTGTTTTCCATCTGCATGAGTGTGTGTGTACTCATTTCAGTTCAAGTATACTGCATGTCCGAGACATTTCAGAGTCTGGAGGGTCTATAAATATCTCCCTAATTAGCATTCCTGTCATTAAAAACAGCAACCAATCAACTACCACTCCACTCATTTCAACACAGACATCCATCTCTCACCAGCAGTACACTGCTGCCCCCTGCTGAATGCACACGGCATGTATTTGTCCACACATGCATGTGCACATGTGTATAAGTGTCTGTGTGTGTCTTCACATGTGTGTATGTGTCAAGACCAGGCCAAGAATGCATGGCTTGTTTTGCAGACTGCTAATTAAGCCACAGAGAGCATTTTAACGTGTTTCTAGAGCAGCAGGCAACCGGATGGAGGGAGAGCAGAGGAGGAGGCGGAGGAGGAGAAGGAGCAGGGGGGATATGGGTGGGGGAAAAGGCAAACCTCTCTGTAATTACACTTCTCAGAGCTTGGTGGGGTGCTCGGGCCCTGCGACTTCCGAAAGGCAATCTGTGTGACTGTGTGCATGCGGATGTATGTGTAGCGTGAAAAGAGAGGGCCTGCAGTTTCCAGTTTGGGATGCCGATCCACTAATTGCTCCGCTACACCCTGACAGGTCATTTAGGAAGTATGGTGAACACACTCTCTCACATGCACAAGCACACGCCCCTTCCCGTCTCACACCTCGGGAAGTGGGATGGGAAACAATCTGGCAACTAGGGCTGCACTTTAAGTAGGCTGTGATCTGATTCATGTCACAATATGGGCTATGTATGGACAAACACATTTAAATAGAGCGGAAACAGTTGGTCACCTAATCAATTAGTTGAAAGATCGTCCCACAGCAAGAAATATATATTGTTATCTATCTGATGAAGATTTATAGTTTTAGCTTTTCAGATTGTAAGGATGTGCCGCTTTCTCTGTCATAGATCACTGTAAACTGAATATGTGGGGGGGTTTGACTGTTGGTCAGAACACAACAATACATTTCAAGTTGTCAACATCACGATGTCTTTAGGGTATTGTAGTGGCCTTTTCTATATTCTGTGAAATGTCCTGGACCCTACAGTAATTGGTTAATCAATCATATAAACATCAGATCAACAACCAAGAATTGTTGTTAGTTGCAGGACGCCACACTTAAAATCCAATGTATTCTGAGAAATAGGGCTGCCATTACAGAATCTTTTTATAATCAATTAGCAATCATTTGTTTTAATTAATCAATCATCGTTTAGTCTACACATCGTCAAAAAAAAAGTCTGACATGGCCTTCACAACTTGACAGAGCCAAAATGTTTTATTTTGATCAACCAAAAGTCCAAACACCCAAAAATATTCAGTTTTCTTTAGTATATGACAATAAAAGCTGGAAGCTTCTCAATTTGACAGGCTGGATCAAGTCAATACTTAGGTTGTTGAAAAATGCCAATCACAGTTTCCAAGTAAAAAGTGGAAGCTTCAAGTACCTTTTTTTTCTGACCAAACACAAAACTTAAAATTATTGACTTTGCATGCAAGACATTTTATTATTATATAAGACAAACAAATGTTCAAATCTGATGAACCTGGAACCAGTTGAACCTTTCCTGGAAAATGTATTTAAATGTGCAACAATTATCAAAATTGTTGCACATTTTTTCCTTCAATCAGCTCCTCTAATAATTGACTAGCCATTTCCTCTTCAAAGATCATATCACCACAAAATGATTTCACCTGAAAGTCAAATACTGCTCAGACCTACTGGCAACATCAAAGTAACTAATGCAAAGACAAACTAATGGTAATTACCATGATCCTCCTTCGCTATGCAATTATATCTTTATTCAATAAAACTAACAAAAGCAGGAAAGGGGTTTTCCTACCAGTTAATGACAGAGAGGCAAGACTACCTCACCATAGTGTGTTTGCATTTGCCCTTTTCTGTGAGCCAAGGCAGATAAAGCGATACAGCCAAACATGGCCGGTGGGCTGAGTGATACGTATTTAAAGTTACTGCAGGTTAATTATCAGCATGCTTCAGCAGAGACCGCGTTATTACAACACAATGCTGACCTGACTCCTCTGTTCAAGTCACACCTCAGCCTTTCATTACGTCTATAAAACTAAACCAAAATGAAAAAGTAAATTCTGTCTAAACAAAGCTGAGATGTATGGCATTTCCCTGTGCTTGCCCCCATATTATTCCCATCTTAACCTTTTTCAAATCTCTAACCCACGTTTAATCTCTATCCACCTCCCCCCTCCCTCCCTGCTCCTCTCTGGTGAGGTAGGAGGCAGGTCTGTGCTTGTGCAGGCGGGATCACAGCACAGCGCTGCACACAGGCAGCAGATGAGCCTGACATCATGCATTCCTCAGACCTTACCTAGAGTCACTGCGCAAAGCCTCCGACAACAACCCAACACCACTTTAACCCCTTTCCCCTTGCTATCGGCTGTAATCCAAACAGTGCAGGTGTGTTATTTGAGGGTTGCTTCCCTTTCTCCTAGGATGAGGTCAGCACTAACGACCCACATATTACCTCATTTTCTCACGGAAAGGATCAAGATAGGCTCATCTGGTTTGTTTGCTACCTGCTATCCTGTATTCTGTCAAAGGAGGTCGAATGACATACAAGTTGAGATCATTTAGATACACAGAGGGGGAATACAAATGTGATTTATTGTGGCTATGCAGCACATAGAAGGTTCTACCACAAGAGGGCAGCACATACTACCATAAAGACCAAGTATTTCTAGCACAGGAAATTCCTTTACCCCCACTACCTACTGATTCATTTTTACAGCTGTTAACTTCTGATAGTACATTTATGTTGTCGCCTCTAGGTTATCTGATTTATCGTAAGTGTCTGCTTTTTCATAATCTGTGTGCAAACAAACCACAATCAGGGAAAACTGTTATCGGCAAGGCCTCTAACAGCTTATCTGATGTCTCCCGTGAAGAAGCTTTGAGGATCAAATTGGCTTATCTTTTGATTGATTCCTGATCACTCACACCGCTGCACTAATTAAAAGGGAAGTCAAAGCTAAATGCCACCGGCCCCTCTTTCTCTCCAACACTCTCACCTCAATCCCCTCCATCTGTCACACTCATCCCTGTGGTAACTGTTCAGAGAGCAGTATTGATTGGAATGAGTGTGTGTGATCTGATGACCAGCAGTATAAAGTGAGCAGAGGGGGAACTCATTAATTCGAGTGATCTAATGGGAAACCGCCATTCTGCTCGGCTGGCGGTCAAGGTCAAAGGTCAAGCTAAGAGCCAGATGGGGCATCTACCGGTGTGTGGATTTGGCTGTAAGACTGAAAGGACAATATATGTTCATGCATTACCACCAGTTTATATAATGTAAATCTCAAGATTTACATTACCAAACATTTTTTCAATAATGTTTTCAACGTTTTTGGTTCTTTTTTTCAAAAATGTAAATATCTGAAAATATACATTAGAGTAACAACAATGTATCATGTTATTAGCTAAGAAAACGCTGTCTATTCATAAGAATATCATTAAAAAAATATATATATTTAAACAACAACCATATAGATGGGATGTAAGCGGACTTAAATGACTGTTACGGTAGCTCCGGTTGAGTAATATTATTTGAATAGCTTAAAGTTGTATGCACTATAAAAAGGTATGTTTATACATGGCACTTTTGGCCAAGCCTACATGTAATTGTAAGGCAAGTTTAGTATGAAACTCAATATTATACATATGTAGTAAGTAGGGGCTCCCCTGCTTCGTGGCTCTATCAACTAAAGGGTCCTTGGCCTGAAAAACATTCAAATGACTATTCACAATGTTAATCTCCATGCCTCCTTGGTTAATTAGTAAGGGATCCATGGAGCATATGGTCTATTTAGTGTGGTCCAAAACCAGATACACCACTTCACTTTCTGCTCAGTCACAAACACACAAAACTTGACCCCTTTTCTTAAACATCAGTCCCGCCCCACATGTGATGTGACATCACACGCAGGGCGTCCACTCCTCACCACAGCTGGCTGCTCTTTGTTAGCGAGACAGCAGGTGTGCAATAACTCACCGCATATACTGCCCCCAACCCCTTTGGAGACAGCCAGTTGCCATGGAGACTGGCTCAATGAAGCATCCATTCTACCCCCTCACCCCCAACGCTCACCCGCCTCCCGAGGATGGATACACGCCACTAATAATGATTAGCCCACATCAACTTTGATACAGATTATTTTTGTGGTTTACAAGTCAATAGATTTTAAACTATATCCATTGCCATGATGGATTTTGGGTTAATTTAACAGAGTGGATTTTTTAGTGTCAAACCAAAGCATGCGTCTGAACTGTGCTTCAAAGAGTGTTAAATATTTAACAAGATTGCATGGTATTAATTAGAGTACATTTCAATGGCTTTTCCTGTTACATAATGTCAATAGAAGAAAAAGGGTACTGACTAATCAAAAACAAGGCAATGCTAATTTACTGAAACTAATATTTTTATTTATTGCATCTGCATCTAAGAGGGGATATTTATTATTTAACCAATTCATTACGTTTTTCTTAAGAGGCCACATTTGTCACATGCATCGATGGTAAAAATATATAAATTCATCAATTACCAAAATACAGACACATATGACTAACTATGTTACTTGATAGCAACACGTTAAATAACATGCATTCATATAATACTATTCAAAACTACCTTGAAGAATCCGTGGGGTTTCATTAAATGTTAAACTGTAACACCTTGTGAGTATTTTGCCAGGTGAGTTATCATAGGCTTTACCTTCAGTAGAACATCTAACAAACGATGCAACAAGTCCACATGCACAAGTTTGCATGTGCAAGAAAATATAATTGATTGCATGTCTGCCACATCTTGGTTGAAAAGATAATAAAGGGGCCAATGGTAATTAAGTGACACCAACATTATCGGAAAGCAATGCAAAAGGTGATGCATTGATGCCTTGTTAAAAAAGCTACAGGAAGCCCAATACACAACCGCGGTGAGGAGCCCCGGCTGCATCAGGCCTGAAACTTAAACACACCGACCCTGCAGCACTGTTAGCTGAGGAACCGCTGCCTGGCCGGAATGCTAGTTACACCTATGAGACCTACGCGGCCCTCGGAGTCGAGTTACCGCTGCAAAAGGTAACTATCAAAGCAAATGCAAAATAAACCGGTCACTTATTTCACAGAGAAGCAGTACTTGTCATATGAAATAAAGTCTCTTGTTGCTGAATAACTCGCACTCCGGTGAAACTCGACGGAGAGCGAGCAGCAGGAATAGCGGAATGCAAAGCCGAGCCTATTTGCAGCTCTTCAGCTAACTAGCCTAGGATGCTAACAGCAGCTAGCAGCCTAGCTCCGTCTCCCCCCCTCCGACTCACCGATGTGATTGTCCTCGATGTGGACGATGAGCTCGGCGAGAGACTCGAACTGGAGACCGCAGCCGCCGAACCTGCAGGAATTGGAGAAGAAAGAAGCGGCGGCGATGCCCGTCATGTTTGCGCCGCTGGTGCATTCACCGGGAGGAGAGAGAGGGGGGACCGGGAGCCGGGGAGGTGACCGCAGGAGGAGGCAGAGTTTTCGGGTACAGGGGAGTGGGAGAGCCGCAGAGCTTGGAGCGGCGGAGCAGACACCGGGCGGCCAGACAGGACAGCGGCGAGCGCAACTGGGAGGCAGGCGGGCCGGTGGGGGTGGGGATGGGGGGAGGAGGAGGGTCGGCGGGTGGCAGGCTACGTCACGACCTGCCTACCTGTTGGGACCATGGATCTCTGACTGTGATATTATTATTAATATTGATGATAACTATCACACTAAAATAAATCAAAGTTTAATCGTAGCGTATTTGCATGCAATACATGATAACACATGTGCATGCCTTTTGTTATGAACACAATCTGATTTATCAGTGTGTTTTTGCAAATACTATTGATTTAGCAGAGGCAGTTTATTTTTATTTTTTATTTTAATAACACCCTGGTTATATCTCACATCTTAATTAATTGTAAAGGCCCAAATTATATATGAGGAATATATGGATTTCAATCATTTTCAATTTGATGTAAATTGTGTGGATATGTATTACCTATACATAACAGGTCATATAGCATATTTGTTTTACACCATACTTGTTTGAAACATAGTGCCATATTAACTTTTACAATGAATGTAAAGTTTGCCAATTAGAACCACAAATATATAAACATTTGAGTCTTTGGTTAAACACTACACAGAGAAATGAAATGATGTAAAAAGCATATGCAAGAAGAATTACAAAATAAATGTATTTGATAGAGACCTATTACAATCATTGGAAATACCAAAATAAATGTAATCTTCAAATTTTCATTAACTGTAGACCATCTATAGCAGGTTATTTACTTTACATTTGTCCTAAAGTTGATGATTAACTTAATCATCATCTTTTGATAACAATTACTAAGAGTCTAATCAGGAACTTTTAGCTTGCCAATGAATAGGCACTAGCAGTCTTCCAGACATTGTGTGGATGTGATGCGGAGGAGGTACTGAACTCGCAGTGACCAGGGTCACTTAGGAGTGGCAGCATCACAGTCCCAGAATAACAACTGATTATAAATTCTTGGCTCTATATTCATCATGGCAAATAGCTGCTGGTTTACCATTTTTCCAAACATTCATTTGCAGTCATGTGCTAACAATAAATCCCAATAGCACACATTTCACATTTGTTTCAGAGAGTTGTACAGTGTGTCCAGCATACAACACTCCTCTCTCCCTAGAAACCCAACAATTAACGGTGAAAAATGGAAGAAAAGTCCGGGATCTGCAACGGAGGATGGATCCCTCCCCCAGAACGGACAGGTGTCAAGTGTCTTGTGTAAAGATTCTGAAAAAGGTAATGAAATTACAACATAGAGCGCCCAAATGACCAAATTGATAATGTGAATGACAAAAAATGTCTAACTTGATCGCTGTTTTTAAATTAATATTGCAGGTTTATGAAACATATCAGTGCTTTACTACAGCTTGCAACTGCATTTTTTAATTAAAAAAATACCATTTGCAAAGTTACCCAGAGATCAAAATGGCACATGGGTGCTAGAGTTGGTATCACTGCACTTGTAGACTATGTGTGTGTTTGTGTGTGTCAACATAGTGTACAGCAGTTGCATCACCCGTTGACAACAACATCTATCACATCCATAAAGTTTAAGGATTAATGTTTCCCTGTAATGGCTTAGTTGTGAGGAGGAAACTGTAATGTGTGTGTGAGTCGCAGAGAGAGGAGAATGTCCTTAAATCACTGGGGCTGGCTAACCAGGGCCGGCTGGCCTGTGTTGGACCTGTTAATCAAGCGTTAAAATGGCCTGTCATAAACCACTGGCCAGTGATTTCAGCAAACAACCTTAAGACCTAGGAACATTTTTCTGACTGTCCTCTATCCATCCAACCATTTAAAAACCCAGGCATACAAAAACATAAAATAAATTCCCATTCACATCCGTTACAAACATGACCTCACCTGGTGTCCACACATGTACAGTATAGAAATCAAGTGACTTCATCAACCCAGATGTTCTCTCTTACACACAAACACATGAAGACACACACGCAACATAAACACACTCATTACACGCACATGGTGTATCAGAGCAGTGACAGTGACGCAGTTCCCAACACTATTGCGTAAATGAGAAGTGGTAGCATGTGTTGTGAAATGCAAGAAAGGGTGAGACTTGAAGCGAGTTTGTGGTGCATGACATCTCTTGAACTGTGTGTAGCGCACAATGTAACAGCTTGGGATGGATTTCAAATTGGCATGGATTGCATTATCAGCTCTTTTTTCTCTGAAGACAAACAGTCCAACCAGTGGATCTGCATGTTGGGAGAGAGATGTGTGTATATTTAAATATAACCATTTGTTACAGAATCAAATGACTGTAACTTGGATTCTGTTTAAAATACATGTTTCCAAATAATTTGCTAAATCCCACATTACCCACTATCTGCTGTGATAACAAATAGTCATAAACCATCATGGATCAAATCAAAACAGTTTGGCAGCGGAGCCAGATGTGAGATGTAGCTACAGTGAGGATAATGTTACGTGGGAATGTAGGTCAGTAAGTTTGTTTGACCTTTGACCTTAAACCCCATATTTTGTACAGACAGGGTGACATCAGCCTGCTCTAGAAAGCTCCCAGTCTGGCTGTTAAAAGCCATGCTGAGGTGAAAGTGCCAGATACTAATGGCTGGTGTAGCCTCTGAGTTATGGAGGTAGTTGTAATCTCAGTGGCTTTGTCTGCTCTAGGGCACCAGCCAGAGACTTCCTGTCTGCCGTCATACGCTTTTTAGTGTTAGTGTGCACTCTTCACGGGCAAGCGCGCCGTAAAACATCCCATATCTTCACTGAAAACAAAGCTCAGTGATTCACATCCACATGGGGGAAGAGCCCAAAACACAGAGTGACATCATCACAACTTCCTGTTTCTTCTTGTTTCCCTGGCAACCAGAATTTGCATACTCTAGGCGATTGGTGGATGATGAGTCAGTGGGGCTTGGTCCCGTTTTGAACTTCAATCACAACAAAACCATATCCCTCTGTTCAGCTGCAGGCCGGAAAGCCTGACCAAACATGGCAGAGATATTACTGCATGGCTTAGCTCAGCAGAGATGTGAATGACCAAAGTCCCCTCCTCTTGTTTTGTACAATGGCCAATGGGATTTCATGTAATCATATAAAGGATATTGATCAAATACCATATCAGTGAGCATTTATTTATTTCAGTCAAAATCAGGATCAAAACACTTTATTTAGGCCAATTTGACAGTTTCTTTATTAAAAATTAGTTGTATAAACATAGAGAAGTTATAAAATGCACATTCTACTACAATAAACAACGAGAATAAATATGTATATTACAATATGTATGTATGTGCAAAAATATTAATATCGATATAAATTCTGAAAACAAGAAAAGTGCTGGAATTAAATGTAGTGTTACTTAACTGAAAATCATTTATCAAAATGATACATAAGGCGGAATGATTATCCCTCTCTTTCTCATATATCTATAACATGATAAACAATACGATTTTAGTACAAATCATAATGAATAACAACTTATTTAATTGGGAATCTCTCCATGAAAAAATCTGTTTATAGTAATAATAATAACAATAATAATGATAATAATAATATCAATTTGTTTAAATTAAGATTATTATTATCGCTGTTATAATTATTATTATTAGGGCCTATTATTATACTAGCATTAGTTGAACAAAAGTTTGTTAGCCTGATATCAATGGCTATTACAAACTCATTACCTCATCATATTCTCAGTTTCATTTTTTGGGATCAATTCGGTAAGAAGCCCTATTCAATTTGACCTAAACTCAAGCCTGCTTATGTTTCATAATAATCCTTTTAATTTAAGTTAAAAAGAAGCCAGAATAACTCTCAGAAAAGATGGAAAAGCATTGAGGTACTCATTTTCCGCATATAAACTAGATGCAGACACTGGGACCTCCCGTTTCAGACACACACAGAAAGAGGGGAGGGAGGGAAAAAAACAACAGTGTCTCATCCGCCCACCCGGTCTGTCCCGTGTCCCGTCACGTTGCGGTCGGTGTGTCTAGTTGTGTGTCTGTCCAGGTCCACACCATGCCGCTGTCCCGTCCCGTCCCCCTACCGGCCGGTGTCCTAAACCCCGCCCCCCTTCAGCCCCTCTCTCCGTACGGGACCGCAATGATTTAGAACTTCAGGAATCCCACGTGACGTCACCGGGTGATGTAATGCTTCTGTAAATAGATCGTATTGTAATCTCGCTCCAGTCCAACGTGGTTCCTCTCTGGAGCGCCGCTCGTCCCTCTCCACTTGTAGGTAAGCCTGAGCAATTCCTACTTTCATTCACAAAACTTTTAAACTCAAGTGACGCGGATACACTGTGCTGAGTTTATATTCTGAAGTGTATTTCGTACGTATTTATTTTTGACGCTACTGGAAAGTTAAGAAGTTTTTTTGGCTTGGCTGTCCCGGTGAAGTCTCATCATCAGACGGACGAGGTTGAGCGCGAGTGTCTATTTGGGGGGTGTGACAGCACTCTCCATACAGCTGTGCCGGGTTGTTTTTGAGTTGAACAGGTTGCAATACGGAGCGTTAGGAAAAGAAACACACCAGCATGTTCTTGGGACACATACGGGCACTAACCGTCCGGCTGCAGGACGAGTTTCTGGTCGGAACCGCTGCTTAAAACCTACATTTCGGAAGAAAAACCCGCGTGACTTATTCGATATTATGTTGTTGACATCTATCCACCAAACATGGCAACTTTGAGAAGTAAGTAAGTTGCTTCTTTTGTTTTAGCTGGACATATTGTACAGGATTCTCAAGCAGGTGTTTCTTTAAAGTTGTATTATGTCATTTATCGTGAGTGATAATAGAGGACAGAAAAATGTCTTAGATTAAGTTCCAAATATATAATAGAGGCAATTATCCGTCTTGAATTGACAACATGTTGTCTGGTCCGTTGTTGGGTTTATGTATTAAGGATGACGTCATTCCGCATTGATGTAATCGTCCTGACAGAAGGTTTTGCTGAAAATGTGCTGAGTCTGCTCATCTTGTTCAAGTGCTGCTTAAAGTATAGAAAGAGAGCTAGAAAACAGTGGATGATATTTATGATTAACATTAACTACGCTTTCTATTTATTTACGCCTTAATATATCACATTATGTAGCATTGCACCAAGAAAGACTATAAACCATGTGCAGTAAAAGGATGTAACCATTTGACTGTTTCCACTGATTTTCTACTTTATTTATTTATTTATCTATCTCTCTTTCTATCTATAATTGTGTTGTTGTGGACACTTGCTTCATCATTCCATTTTGTAATACATACACACACACACACACACACACACACAAACACACATATAGACACACACACACACCTATGAAGTCACCTCTACTTGCAGGGGTTGGAAAATGGGGGCTGAGGCAGGTTTAAACCTGTCAGGAGTAGGCCGACAGTGCAGCCCTCCCCCTGCCGCCTCCCACCCTCATTCCTTCTCTCTTCCATTCATTGTGATTTCCTCCCTCTCTTTCCCTCTCTCTCCCTCTCTCACTGCCACTTGCCCTTCCCATTCCTCTCGCCATCACCCTAATGTCCCTCTCCAACCCCCACCCCACACACTTTCCATTTCTTATGGAAGAGTGTACTTTTTTTGCCCTCTCTTTCTCTCTCCTCGCTCTTCTCTTCAGCTCTCACTTTCCCATGACATAAAGACCCACTTTGCTGTCTTCTCAGCACTTAATGCTCACACAAATGCAAAGTTTTCTTCAGGGAAAAGTGTGTAAGTGTAAAAAGTGTCCCTCGCTTTTTTTCTTGTTGCCATCCCTGCCATCTGCACCTTTACCGTTTCCTTTCTTCCTCCTCCCTTGAGTTATCAGTAAACACTTACTGTGGTAGGAGGATGAAAAGTCAAGCGAGGGTCACCCTGCTGACCTCTACAAGTGTGTGAATCTCATTTGGTGACACACAGCTTCGAGGTATGCCTGAGGCCGTTGAGTTGAAGGCTCCTTCCTTTGCTCTCAGTGGAAAGTTAGAGGTCAGCAGCAGCAGCAGCACTTCAAATAGTTATAATTACCCCCAACAAGGCTTAATATCTCCATTCAAGAACTGAGTGTGTTGATCCGAGAGTTAGCGCTACATGCGAGTTCATCATTGTGCTCTATTCTGTCTGTGTTGTTATTTTCACCCTTTCTGACGTTGACTTTATTTTGATGTTTTGAAAGCATTGTATCCCCCGATGAAAGCTTTATCGCACTACATTTACACAAAAGTAAATTATGTAAAGCTTTCATTCCCTTTTGTTGCCTTCATGTTATTAGTTATATGTAATGAATACAGTATTTATTAAAGCACTTCCTCATAAAAATGACTATGTAGCAACGCTGCTGCTCTCCCGCTGGCACCAAAGGGATATTTTTCCTACAAATAATGTTGTGTCTCTGGGTGAAACATTTATCATCTGTGGCATCTACCTCATTGCACACCGCCTCAACAATAAAGACGTGATAATAGCAGGATTAATGTATCGTATACGAGCTCACTGTGTGATTTATCTAAGGGCACTTTCTCTGAGTAATTAAAGAAGAGCTACAAGCGCCCTGCCGAATTGAATCATCACACAATGAACTGACATCCGTAGTATGCTTCACACAGTAATGATGAATTATTTTGTGCTTGCTTCTTGTGTTTTGCAGGCTGGTGTATGACATGAATGACAAACAGGACAGGCCTTATATGTGCGGCGCACTCGGCTGCTCTCAGGTCAGTTTGATGTGTGGTACACCTGCGTATGAGCTGTAATAAAAATATATTTGCAGGAAAATGTATGATTGTTAGTATCAAACTAAATTATCAACATGGAATACAGTCATCTATTGAAGATTAAATAATGTTGTGAAGTCATGGTTATCAATTGTGGACACTGGCAGGCTGATTAATGGGATTTAAATTGTAAAAATAAACAAATATCATAAAATACAAGGTAGCATACTCAGTTCTGTGCTAAAGAGCAATACAAAACATACAATAAGAGTTACATATATGTATAACACGAACATTTGACATATAATCAACTACGTTCCGACCATTGTGACTGATTAGTCAGCTATAAGAGACGTCAGCTGATTTGATTGAACATCTCATCCCATGTGTCGTGTCATGCAGCTACATGCATCTCTTCATATCTTTCTCACTCTGTCGGTGTGATGCAGCGCTTCCAGTTAGAAGAGCATCTGACCATCCACGGACGTAAGCATGAGATGTCCCTCAAGTTCTCCTCCATCAAGGCGGATTTGCCCTTTACAGGTGAGAGAGCACAAGAGGAACAAAAAAACATTTAGCCAAGAGCTAATAGTTGAGTTTGTGTATCCCCATAAATACTGGTCTTGTATGTTCACTTCTTAGACGTGCTATATATCACTCTGATGTCTGCATGTGTGTGTGGTGAACTCTTTTCAGGATCAGTTCTTGATTAAAAAAAGTGATGACACAACGTTATACAATATGAAATCAGATAAGCTCGATACAGGCTTCCTTTCCTCAGATAGTCTGTGCTGTGAAACGGAGCTGCTCATGTTGCAACATGTACAGTATACTCCATCAGATTTGACAGAAAACAGTGATAACGCTTTCAGTGAAGACTTTCATAAACCTCCTAAGATATTTTTAGTCCTTGTTTGTTTATATTGCAAAGTGAGAGGTGCAGGGTTACAGGTACAGGAGAGGAACTTGTGGGAGAATTGATGCAACTAGATGCTTTTGGATGCCTCAGTTTGTTACTGTGTGTGCCAGGGTTTCACAATAACACTATGTTAGTTTTCAGATTTATTGAAAATATTTTTACCAACATCAGATGGACAGTTAGGTTAATTTATCAGTGCAAAAGTGGCTTTTTGACTGTAAATATACCACAGTTTTTTAATTCTTGTTTTGATTGATTGCATCATTGTTTTGTCCATCTTAAAATCTCTCAGAAATATTACAAGTTGACATATTTAATTAACTTTTTTAAGCACAACCAACAGTCTAAAAAAACTAAAAGCATTTAGTTTAAGCAGAAGCAGATGTAATGCATTTATGTTTGAAAAATGCCTTGACCACAGTCATTTAACTTGTGTGATTTCCTTTTCTTTTTTGACTTGATTTTCCCACAAGCGGATAGAAAAAGGGTCAGCATAACTCTTTTTGTAGAGCTGCTAACCCTGAAGAGAATTACATTATTAATATTTAATTAATTATCATGGGATTATGCAGGGATGTGGTGTCCCATGTTGATGCAATTTAAGATGCTTTTTGTGATTGCAAAAATAGACAAGGGAAAAAAAGGCTTTAACATACGTGCAACAGCAAATTATCATTCTCTCCGCGTCCTGCAGCCTGTCACGCCTCCTGCAGGAAATCTCATGTCAAAACAAAGAGCGCAGCTGACCTTTGACCCCTGCATGTTTAGGCGGCTCAGAGAGACAGGCTGATGTTATCACGGAGAGAGACAGAGCAACGCAAAGAGGAGACTTGTTTCTCCTCTTTGCATAACAGATCAGACAACAGTCGATTTACAAATCAAATAAGCTATAACAGGAAATACTTTTATGTTGTAGCAATTCATTCATTTTTATTTTTTTGTTTGTGTATTTGTATTTCCCGCTTCTAGACCAGACTCCGACGCCAACCCGGTTTTTGCAGAACTGTGAAGAAGTTGGTCTTTTCAAGGAGATAGAGGAAGAGTTTCTTCAAGCACAAGAAGAAGAAAAGAGCAAACAGGTAAAACATTTCTGACTAAACCTCATCCTAACTTGAGTCTTAACAGCAAGAATCAAGAAACAATGTTGACTTGTGCCGTGATGTTGATAGGTGTTTGCTTGTGAGCTCTGTCAGATAAGCGTTTTGACTGACACCGGAGTGTGAGGGAGATAAAAGCAGTCAGACTCAATTAGACGATTGCAGATATCTGACCGGCATTGAGGAAAGACACACCGGGCGATCACATTCTCCCCTGTAAATTAAACAGCTACACATCAAACACAAAATACACACACACCTAAACAAATGTACGCACTTACACGTAAAAAATAACCAAATAAACACAAACACTGACTGAAAGAAGACACCGCAAGTTTAAAATTGTCCCAGCTGATTGTCGCTCACACTTCTCCCCACAGACGCTTCCTCATAATGGGCCTTCCTGTATGAACCAGCAGCTAAAATCCCAGCTTCAGCACCAGCAACCCCAGCCACCGCTGCACCACCCCCAGACCCACCCCCTGCAGCACCCGCAGTCCCACAGCCCCATGATGGGCCCCAGCTGCAGTCTGAACGCCCAGCAGGCCCTGTCGTCCCCGCAGTCCGGATCCGTCATCACCCAGGCTCCTTCAGCCCTCACACACTCAGGGTGAGTACGGCAGCACACACACCTTAAAAGGAGAGTTTAAAGCTGGTGTGAAGAAGGGACTTATCCATAGTCAGTGTGTGAGCTGCAGTAAAGGATGGTCAGCATGCTGCCACTTTGGAGAAATATGTACAGGCACAGAAGATAAATAATGTACAGCTGTGGAACGGGGCAGCAGCAACACATATTTTTATCACCCTAAAAGAAAGGACCACAAAAAAAAATAAAGATCACTTTAAGTGTGAGCTATATAAAGAACATTTAATGCTTTACCTTGCTGTCGGACAGAACTTTCCGCCAGGGAACTGAAGCCGTTTTTTTATTTGTGTAATTTTGTGATTTTGTTGAATCCAAACTAACCTTTAAAAACACTTTAGTCACCAAAAAGCATATAAACTGACCAATCAAGGCAGCGGTAGACAATAACTCTTCTAGGCGGTAAACTGACTTTGTCAATGGAGCTTGGTGGCTTTGAAGAAAGCGCAGGTAACAGCTTCAGATCCCAATGGAAAGGGCTGTCTAGGGGCAGGGTAACATGGTCAAATACTCAAAATATAGCGTACATTTTAAATGATAATGCATTTATTTGAAATGGCTAAAATACATTTTGCCTACAAATGTTGTCCACAGCAGAACTTGGCTCTGCTTCCGTGCTATTCCTATTCCTGGGGATTTACTGACCACCTTGACGTATTGATAATTCCCTCATAAAACCCTGCTTTAAAAAAAAAAAAAACTATCCCTTGAAGGCGTCTATTTTCAGCAGCAGAACGTATTGCCTTCATCACATATAGACACACACACATATTTCCTTTTAATGTTGCCTTTTCTCACTCTTTCTTCCTCTCCTTCACCCTGTCTCGCCCATCCTGTTTTGGACGTATTATAAATCATTCTGCCTGGGCATTTCCCCCTGCATAATTTATCACTGCACTAATGAACTGAGAGAAAGGAGGGAGACAAATAATACAAACATCAATTTACTGCAAGAACAAAGTCATAGCATTAGAGATTGATAACTGCTGCACACACCCACTCAGACCCACTACCACTGCCCACCCTGCCACCCAAATACTGCCTGTGTTGTGTCTGTGAGGCTCAGAGCCTGTGCAGCCTCTTCGGCTCCGCGGTTATCACCCGTCCTTCAGACAGATTACAGTAAGAGTTCCTGTCTTTCATCTGAGCGGCTCCCAGCAGCTGCTTTCCCTCCGCCTGACATTTCAACATTGGATTTGTATTTATGTCATCTGAATATCTCATTACATATACCGTGGGTCGAATTAACAATGTTATACCCATTTTTCTTGGAGCATGCTGTTTGATGTGAAAAATAGTATTGTTGTATTTCAAGCATGTCAAATATAATAAATTATTAACTGATTAAAATACCACAAGACTTTAGCCGATTAAAAAGTAACATTGTAAGCGGCTCCTCTAATGTGGACATTTTGTAACTGGTAAATATCTAAAATTGCATCTGTCAATAGATTATGATCAATCTTTATATTTATAAGTATTTATAAAATATGTTAGTTGAAATTATTTAAAAAATAATCAAACAAAAATAGTCTCTAACATGTTCTGTTTCTCCATGCTATAATTAAACTTGAAACTTTATTTATTGCTTTTGCTTGTAACGCCATCTTCCTACTGCCCTTTCATATTTACTGCCAGCTTCTTTCACAAATTGTAATTTAACTGCTACTTCAGTGATTTAATTTGTCTTTTCTTTCACTTTTCCATAAAATATAGTTCTTAATTGGTTTGTCTACTAGCCATAATGTCACCTAATAAATCAGAAGAGGCAGTTTTATAATGTCATTATACTCTGGGAACATTATGAATACATGGTCAGTGCCTTAAAGGGGAACACTTACAAATCTAATAATTACAAAAAAACATTTCCCATGGCCTAGGAACGTTTATTCAACATTTGGAAACATGAGCAACTCTCCCTTAAAGCCAGAAACTAGAGAATAAAGTCTCAAACTTGTGATGTGATCAAGTATATACTGTAGATCTGCTATATAGACAATGACTGGAAGACAGATTTTGTGTACCAACAGAATGTTTTTGATCTTTCTCTTAGCATCATTATTTGTAATGTTCCCATTTCCTAAACCAAAAAGAAAATGCCCTGACACACTAAGAGCATGCCCCTTGGTGATTTCAGTGTTACCTCAAACATCTTTCCAAACACATTGTCAATGAAGCAGTTTCAGACCTGATACCTGATGACATCATACACTTGAGTTTTTGGGTTTGAGTCATTTTACAGCCTACTCTTATCCTGACACCCTGTCTTACAAAAAGAAAAGCTCTCTAATTCTGCTTGCAACATATAGTAGATAAAAAAAGCCTCTTTCCCACATTAGATAAACCAAAGGGCCAAAAGGACATTATACAGTCCAAACATCTGTCCCGGGGCAGACAGGACAGGACTGTGGGCAGTGACTGAGGCTTGATAATGGCACATAAAATCAGTGCCAGCTGAATCCAGCCAGCATGTTAGTCAGTGAAACCAGCTAAGTGTTGCTAAACGAACCACGGATCGTGTGTCTGACTGTTTCCCCTCGTGTTTACGACCAGTTTCCATAGCGACCTGGTTTCTAAATGTGTCTGGCTGTTGTCCCGGTAGAACTGTTGTGGTTACGTGAGGAAATGCTGTTTTGGTTTGTCTGTACTTTGTTGTATGTTAAACGGGCCGCATACCCCAGATTCAGTGGTGACATCATTGCGGATGACATCACCGCGGCCACGGCTGCCCACGCTCTCTTATTGGCTGAGAGCCAGAGCCGTTAGCTCAGCACATGGCACCCCGGGTCTCTGCACCCCCCGCTGAGATCCCTGAGCTCCTCTCCTCACGCTCAAGCTGTCACTTTTCGTTCACTTGTTTCACCTCATTACAGTTTAGTTTCTTAACCTCAAACCTCTGTTTACGCCTTCCAGCCCACAAACAATAACAGTTAGATTGTTGTTTGTTTTTTGAGGGAATGCTTTTGTCCAGATTTTAAGTGTTTCCTCACCCAGATCATAAAACAGCTCATCTTCTCACTTGCTTTTAGTGGTTTGTAGAGAGTTTATGTTTTATTTACCCCACATTTCCACCTCTTAGATTTCTTACCCTGCTAGTGTTGCCAGGTTGGACTGGCTCGAGGTAATCCAATAAGATCCTAAAACCCACCTTCTCCCCTTTTCTCTCATAACACTCGCATGCACGCAACCTGAGATCCTCCCTGTTAAACTCTGAGGCAGGAAAATAATTCAAGAAGTTGAGTCATGCTAAAATAAGTAACCCTTTTTTTAACTATAAAATGTAAAAAAAATCCTTAAATGAAATAGATTTTAGATTCACAGAGGAATCGATGACAAATAATTCAAATTTAATTAGAGCCAGATTGGTCCACATTTGGCAAAACTGCCTCCACCTCAGAACAGTGGAGGTAAATATAATAAAATGGTTGTGCGAACAGCATTGAACATTTGTTTTTAAAATGATGGAAATAGAAACAACTCTTTCCAGAAACAGATGTCTCTGTTATTCTGGATAATCCACCGAACAAAAGTGTTTGACTCGGATTATTTATTTCTAATGAACAGTAAAGTCTGTGGATTATCCAGAGTAATTGGGAAATTGTTTCTGAAAAGACAGTGGAAATCTCTAACTGTTTAAATGTATTTAGCACCTCAAACACAATTCCAATTGGCTTCAAAGCGTTGGGATGGAGGCAGAAATCTCTGAGATGGATATTTAAAAAAAGGGACACAATCTGTTTCTCTTGAGGTAAATCAGTAAATGTGTTGCCAATGCCAATTGTTGGTAAAACAAATCAAATAGGATTTAACCTAATCCATCTTCTATCATCACTGTGATTAATGTCATTCATTATTTCACCCCTAGTTTACCAATTAACTTTTTTTGACCATGTCCATCTATCTCTGCCATTTAAGCCATACATGTTTAAACCTGCACCCCTCTCTGAACTGGATAAGTGAAACTTTAGCCGTGGATGTCTCTGACTCGTCCCTCCCTCGCTCTCTCTCCCTCTGCGGCTGACCACAGGCCGGTTCCCGGGTCGCTGTCCTCCCTCCTCCACATGCGGAACAGACACAGACAACCGCTGCCAGCCTCCTTACCTGGCACGCTGCCAGACCCCGCCATGCAAGGGGCAGCTGCTCAGCACATGCCTGTAAGTTCCAGAGACTCACACACAAACATTTGCATCCAGACATGCATGATTTATAGTTGCAGGTATAGTGGCCAAAGTGGTCAAGATCCTCGAGTTGGAAATATTCATGGCTGACAGAAAAAATCACTTCACTCTTGTGTATGAATTAATGAAAAGTGTCAAACTCCAAATGGATGTGACCTTGTGAGGAACTCTTTATCCTGGAGGTTATGTATGCGCTATAGCTTTTCCTTGTAACGCTTGAAAGGTTATTTTTGTGTCAATTCCTTTCCTTCTTCAGATGGAGAAGCAAATGTCGTGTGTAATGGGTTTACCCGGTCCTGGACACAACCACGCCTGTTCCTCGCCTCAGGTACTGAGCACACGTTTTCTTATTGTTTCTCACTGATTATTCTTTTCCTTTCCCTGTATGAGCACAACATACATATATACAATTGCTGACAACAGTTAGTACAGCTGGACTACTCATGGCTTCTTGAAAACCTATACCAAGGCCATTGTTTTTGGAATAGAGCTGATAGTCATTTCTTAACCATTCTTATATTTGCACAGTGAGAATAAAGCTACAACCAGGAGCTGGTTACCTCATATTAGCACAAAGGCTGTAAAACAGGGGAGAACATATAGCCTGAATCTATCCAGAAGTGACTAAATCAGCCTTTCCCAGCACCCCTAAAGCTCACCTATTTAAATGTTATATTTCATCTTATTTAATCTGTACTAAAGCTAATATGTTAAAGTGTCAATTTGCCGTAGTAGTCCCTGTAGGCGAATGCGAGAAAAATAAATTAATGGCGAAAAAAACGAATACAAATTGGGAAATTGGGTGTTTGACTGAACATTTAGATTCAACAATAATTTGGAGCGATTCTGTAACAGACTTCAGAAAGATAAAGAAAATACATTTCTGCAATTTTACTGTTGGAGGTTGTTGTTTGGTACATTTGCCGCTCAACTAAGGGAGTGTTCCAAAAGGGGAAAGTGGCTGTTCTTTGTGTCACGGTTTATCTTACTATGTGCCTTATATTTAGTGCTATATAGTGCTATCAATCTTCTTATGTAATTCTCCAACTGAAATTAAATAACTATATTACTCAAACTGCTGTCCCATTCCTCTGAAATTGAAGCCACAAAACACACATTCTGCCTTTGGCTTATTATTCTCTAATCAGGACAGGCGGGAAGCAGAGTGTAATTCTACACTTTAACCAACACACACACACACACACACACACACACACACACACACACACACACACACACACACACACACACACACACACACACACACACACACACACACACACACACACACACACACACACACACACACACACACACACACACACACACACACACACACACACACACACACACACACACACACACACACACTCACTCACAAATGCTCACACAGGTCCCGCACCACAGGAAGTCCTAATCTACATGCTCTCCCTGGCTTTTCTTGGTTGTTTTATTTTCCTTGTGTCAACTTGCTCTCAATCTCTACCCTGGTAAATTTTACATATCCTCTTTCTAGGTGCATGTAGTATAAATTGTTAAATATGTGTGCTATCAAAAGCAACTTCAAAGGGAAAACTGTGAAAACACCCTGCGTCCACCCAAACACACACACGGGTTATGACTTCATGTGCAGAGCTTGTATATAGAGTGGCAAATGAAAAGTGGTCTCAGGCTTTGGAGCTGCTCAGGTCGCAGGTTCAAATCTAAACCTTACTTCTTTGAACACGCACCCACAACCCCCTTTTCTCCAGACAAATTTAAATTGTATTCTATTGTAATTTAGTCTCGTCTGGTGTTGTGTTTTACAATTCCGAGGTATGAAACATGACCCTGCTTCTGTAAAACCACAAAAGGGTTATTAACATGCCTCTGTTGTACAGTAACTCCAACTCTCAGCTGAAGAGGAAAAAGTAAACGGTCCAACAAGTGGATCAGTGTTTCATGTACAGTTCTGTCTTCATTCACTGATCCCTCCAGACAGAAATATCAACTGTGGTGTGTCATCCAGGACAAGAGACACCATGATGTAATCAACTAGGCACACAGTGTCAGGCTGTTTCTATGTAGTAAACAGAGCTGAGATAACTATGTGTGTGTGTGGTGTGTGTGTGTGTGTGTGTGTGTGTGTGTGTGTGTGTGTGTGTGGTGTGTGTTGTGTGTGATGTGTGTGTGTGTGTGTGGTGTGTGTGTGTGATGTGTGTGTGTGTGTGTGTGTGTGTGTGTGTGTGTGTGTGTGTGTGTGTGTGTGTGTGTGTGTGTGTGTGTGTGTGTGTGTGTGTGTGTGTGTGTGTGTGTGTGTGTGTGTGTGTGTGTGTGTGTGTGTGTGTGGTGTGTGTGTGTGTGGTGTGTGTGTGTGTGTGTGTGTGTGTGTGTGTGTGTGTGTGTGTGTGTGTGTGTGTGTGTGTGTGTGTGTGTGTGTGTGTGTGTGTGTGTGTGTGTGTGTGTGTTTGACTGGCACTGGGCTGGCTGGCACAGAGAGACTCGGTGACCTCATCCTTGGCAACGGCTAAATGTGCTCCCTTTTTTCGCCGTTGAATGGTTGAAGGGGGAAAAAAAATCTGCTTCTTCTCTTAAAGAAATATTGTGTAACAGGGAACAGATAGCAATATTGCCAGAGAGAGAGAGAGAGGGAGGGAGGGAGGGAGGAAGGGTGATGTCATGCTCTAAACATGACCTCTCCCTCCTCTGCTGAGGGGAGGAGAAAGGTGAGATGAGGTTTAATTTAGCTCTTACAGTCTGTTTAGTCAGGTGATATGCGGTAATGATAAAGTGTGAAGGTATCAAGCTGCAGACTGCAGCATTTATTGGAACACATTATCCCTCTTATCTACAGTTGTTTTCACAGTTGTGGATAATTGGGAGAAAAGCAGATGATGGGCTAAGTGGGAGATAGTGGCTGAGAGCGGTTATCATTTGAATTTTGAGACATTTTGCTACTTAGAGGTAGAATACTGTGGGATACTGAGGCTCATTTGACCCGAAATGGCCCGAAGTGGCCTTTATATTTGATAGCTTATCTGCTTTTAGCATACACTGTTTATATCTGGATAAATATATCTGTACATACAGTCTGCGGTTGTTACCAATTTAGTCGGTGTTGGGGGTCAGGCACACCAAGTATAAGAGTTGTGAAACATTTATGTATGACAACAGCTCTTGGTGTTTAGTGTGTCACATCGTTAGGTTTAATAACCCTGTGGGCAGTAGTGGAAAAAGTACTCATCTTTTACTTAAGTAGAAGTAGTAATACCACAACCTAAACATACTCCATTGCATGTAAAAGTCCTGAGTTCAAAATGCTACTTAATTAAAATGAAAAAGTAGTCATTACGCAGATAGGCTTTTTTGGGTGTTGCATTATTATAGAATATTATTCTGTTTATTTATTATCACTTAAAAATACATATAAGAGTTTACTTACTGTATATTTTGTGGATCCAAGTTCGGATACTCTGTTTACTAGTGGGAAGATTATTATGTTTCATAAACCGTAAACACGTCATGTGTTTTTATGTAAATTGACAGCATTGAGCATTCAACTAAGCCATTTAATAAAGTGGCTTAAACAGAACTCAACCCCAAATCCATCTAGGCCTAAATGGATTTAAGTTGTATTTCATTCATTGACAAAAGACTTTCAGTGATTCAGAAACTATATTTCACTTGCTGTAAAAGTCCTTCCTGTGTCCTCTTATACCAGGTTCACAAGCCTTTGAGACATGCGAGAGTCTGTAACGTTCCTAGAGGCCATGATAAACTCAGAAGGAATCTGCTGTTTAAATGAGAAGATGTGAAAATATACAAACTATTATGAGAGTGTCAATTACTGAGGTTAATCTCTCTTAAGGATATGATATGTACAACTCTTGACTCACAGCACACAGCCTTTTCAATAGCAGAAATGTGATATGTGTGAGGTATGCATTGGTTTAGGTGATTGTTGTGATGTCTGCACATGTGGTCAACATAATTCAAAGCTGACATCATATCTCATACATATACAAATCTTGTTATTTTCAGCTGGTATTGAATGTTTTATGCAACATCAAATGTTTTGTTACAGTGACTCAAGCTGTGGAATGTACTTTAACTCAAGTTCAGTCAGACAACTCACGTGTTTCTTTAACATGTTTATTAGAAGCAGCATATAGTTGAGTTTGGCGACTAGGCTCGGCCTCATCACTCCACAGATATACATAGCACGATGAGTGATGATTAAATAACTAACCCCCGAGCCTACAGGTGGAAGCTGGGGTGGTGGTGGGGCGGTGTTGGGGCAGGCAAGCAGCAGCGACGTGGAAGTAGCTGCAGCAATAGCAGCAGCAAGCAATGCATAGAGAGATATCTGGCAGGTTAAATAGAGCAGCATATTAAGGAGACTCTGTTTGGTTGGTTGTAGAGTGGCAAGGGGCGTTATGTATGAATGCAGCATAAGTGCTCAAGTTGACTGCCTGAACTAGCTCGTAGGCTTCGCCCCATTACTGTACTGAGGTACAATTTTGAATGACTTGTATTTTACCTGAGCATTTTCATTTAATGCTACTGTATACTATCATTTAAATCTCCTAATAAATATACGTTGACATATTCCTATAGGTTAAGGTATTCAGCAGCAGTTTAAACAAAGTAGTTCAAATGAGCTCTGCCTTAATGCATCAAAAATCAAATCCAGTAATTGAATATATACTGTATTTGATTTTGAAATGGCGCATAACGAGTACTTTTGGTATTTTAAGGATCCAAAAACATTTATAATTTTACATAAATAAGATTTCGAATGCAGTACTTTAACTAAAGTATTTTTAAATGAAGTATTGCTACTTTCACATGTTTAAAATATGAGTACTTATCCACCACTGAGTGTACCACATGAATACTTAAATATATATTTGGTCTTTTTTTGTCTCTTCTCAGAGATCCAAACAGACGCTGGGCCATCATTTCCAGCAGCACCACCCTGCCATGGTGGGCATCAACAACCCTGTGACAGCCATGGATCACATGATGGAGATGATGTCACAGCATCATCAGGCTCCACCACTACAACACCACCCTCATCATCCGCAGCTTCCTGCTCCGCCCATCACTTTCCAACAGCGATGCCACGCTCCACCTCCGCAGCACATGGGAAGTCCCCACAGCCTCCACCAGCAGGCTCACCAAGCCCCGCCCCCCCCACCTGCACCAGGGCTCGCCTCCTGCACCACCCCTGTCTATTCCTTCACAGGTACGATGCTTTATATTTACTGCTTTGCCCAGTGATGATGGTGAAACCTGACTTTATATCATTACCATCAGTATATATACTGTGCCAATGAAGGACCTACTGTGTGGAGGTTTGGGAAACATGCAAAACAATCACACATCTGTTTTTTTGCTAGAATACAGCTGAACATTTTCAAAATGGGCTGTTTATCATGAACCAACTAACTCTTAATTTAAAAATTCACACTTGAGACGACTTTAAAATTGCATAAGTAATGTGACACTATACATATATTATTCTGCTTTCAGTCTGTTTTAAGTTCAAATATATGATTGAGGAGGATTGTGCACTAGTGTCTATATGTAATGACAATGTTATCAATATTATGAAAAGGGTACGTTTAATAAGGTTAGGCTTCAGATGAAAACTATTGGGGGAGTATTCCTTTACTTTGGTTTGAACCGTCATGACCTACTATTGCTATTCAGAATGTGTATTTGTATCCGAGTTGTATAGAACAACCAACATGCTAAACTAAATACATTTCTGCATTACGGCATGGTAGGGTTACTTTTTAAAGGTTTTTTGTTTTTTTGCAGTTATCACCAGTTGCGCAGCAGATGCATCCATCCCACTCCCAGCATTCAATGCAGGCAGATAGTAGCTGCAGCAGTGGAAGTGGAAGTGGAGGAGGAGGAGGAGGAGGAGGAGGAGGAGGAGGCAGCCACCGCCGCAGGAGGACGGCAGACCAAGACCCCGACCAGCGCAGGCAGAAGTTCCTGGAGCGAAACCGGGCTGCAGCCACCCGCTGCCGACAGAAGAGGAAAGTGTGGGTGTCGTCGCTGGAGAAGAAAGCTGAAGAGCTGACACACACTAACCTGCAGCTACAGGTGGGACACACTCCGCACACACACAAGTACACACAAGTTAACACAATCTGCACTTCAGGGATACCAACTGCTTCTCTCTGTGTTTCCAGAACGAGGTGACGTCACTGAGGTCGGAGGTGGGTCAGCTAAAGGAGATTCTGCTCACCCACAAAGACTGTCCTGTCACCGCCCGGCAGAGAGAGTCACAGGGGTATCCCAGTGAGTAAAACAACTGCTCTCCTCGCTAGACATCTCACCAGCTTTTCCAGATGCCTGACACCAATCATCTCCATCCACCACTGAGGGAATAATTCAGAAACTTTGTATGTGCACATAAGCGAATACCCCATGGTGACATTGTGTCTTTATGCAAAGCCCCCCCCCCTCAGCAAACAGACAGCGACCTTAAACTGTATCTAGCTGAGTGCAACTAAACAGCACTTAAGAGTAAAAACTCTGCTTTTAACCCCCACAGTCTCCAAATATTGGTACATGCACTTTTATTCCTATGGAGAGCCAATCGGGGGGGAAGCACTGCACTCTCTTAACGCTCCATTTAAAAGGAATGCATTTTTCATTTCCATTTTCATGCTCATTTAATGAACTCATACTTGATGGTATTTGAAATACTCTGGAGTGAAACGCAATATCTTATCATTTTGCCTTGCATGAAGCTAGCTTGGAACAGCGTGCCCATCTTGCACTCCAGACAGGTTACAATTAATGTTCGACAATAATTGAACCTGTATGTGACCTAAAAAGGAAAGAAAAAATATACTGCACCTTGTGGCTTAAAAGAAAGCAGCCATTATGTTTTAAAATGTTGAGTTTCAGAGAACAAAGATGGATGCAATATTGGCATGAGTTTCTTTCGTATATTTCTATTGTTGTCTTTTTACCTGTATGTACAGTATTAATTTGTTAAAATAAAAGAGATATTTTCCTTTAATCTTAGCTGTCGTGTGTTTTTTAATTAATTTGCATGCATAATGCTTACAAACGGTGCTCACAGAATGGACAGTCCTCACAGGATCGGTGTCTCTGATTGACAGCTGTCTCTGATTCCAGCTGCAGGGGTGAGCCCCGCAGGAAGTCCCATCCCTGCAGGTCCTGGGCCTCATCTGCAGGCCGTCCAACACAACAGCATTTCCACCTCCTCGGCAGCTGAAGGCATGACAGGGCACGACCCCACGCCTGGACTACAAAGATGAGGGGGGGCTGATGAATCCTATCAGCCTGAATTACCTTACAATAACACTTAAGTCCGACTCAGCATCATGTATTTGCATTATGGATGAAAATGCTGAATTGGATAGGTGAATGTATACATCCATTTGAACATTGAGGTATTTTTCAATATTATTATCATCTTTTTCTGGTTGGAAGGGAGACCAGAACCACATACTGATACATTTCCATAACAGGTGCAAACATGACCTTTACTGAGATGGTTACATGGCAACTGGATCCTTTCTGCAAGCCTGCTACGCTCTGACTATGCACACACACCATCATAAAACATCTGTTGCTCTTATATCTTGCACTAATTTAAAAAACATTAGTTTTATATTTCACACTCTATGCCTTCTAGTTGATGCCTAAGCATCTTCTCAAACCTGTATTTTTCTACAAATAATTCATATTTACACAACAGATATTTAATTTAAGATTTTAAATCAAACCTACGGCTGTCTTGGAAAGCCATTTAAAACGCGGTTGTACAGACTTTCCATTTAGGCACTTTTTTTTTACTTCTCACTAAGACACTAACTTTAAACTGCACCTCATATTTCAATCCCTGTCAGGTAATACAACATCTCTTATTCTGGTAATTCAATATATTTATTTTAGATCTTTTGAAATATTGTTTATCATATAAAACATGTCAGAATTATTTTTGACTCAGGAAACTTGTGATTTTAAGTAATTATATTTAAAATATCTGATTGTTTCTGTACATACAGTATGGTCTAGTCTGCCATCTAGTGACTGGTTTTGTTAGTGGTTATTGACCATGATGGCTGTGTTATGTTTGGTCAGTACATAGACATTAGTAATCTGTATTACGCAAAGCAAAGAAGAATCTAACATTTAATTTGCCTGACTGATATTTACTATCAGTAAAGTGTCCCAAACTAAAGGACTTCATTTTGGTACCAGCTGTAGACTCTTGGACTTTTTTGTCAAAAGCTTTCCGTTCTGACTTCCTGAGTGTCTCGTGATATTAATACATTTTGTATCCATGCATTTGTGCATATGTGTGCGTACATGTGTTTTTGTGCATGTGTGCCTGATTTGGACTAAGTGTGGGAGGCACTCCACCCTGTCTACTCGAACAAAGGGACTGACTAACTAATCCCAGACCTCATCTTGACATGCATTCAAAAGCACGGATGCACATGCACTCACACACTCGCTTCTCCAACATGTTATTGCCATTATCTTCCACTCCCTAGCACATGGTGCAGGTCTCCCTCTAAAGCACTTAATATTAGCTGTGTAGTAAAACATCTCATTAATTGCAATTTTAAATTAAATACATATATTTTGTTAAAACTAGTATTACTAGTCAAATGCAAGGGACCTATTTTGATGAAACATACAAAAAACTATAGAAAACTACAGAAAATAATTATTATCTAGCATGCTTGGCTGAGGTCAATAACAATATCTACATAGAGTTCAAGATGTTAACACTAGCAAACTTTCTGTGTGAATATGTTATTTTTATAAACATATAAATATTGAATAATCTTTTTATATTCTCTAGAAACATAATCCCTTTGTGATGGACATTAGCAGTGGCTTAAATAAAAGATATTTGAAAGCCACAGAGACAGTAACATCTGAGTTAAATCATCCAATCAACACTCAAATGACAAATCAATCACATTGTTGGGGACTTTACTTCTTTGTGTAATGAAGACTTATATATAAAAGTACAAAACATGATAGATGTGATACAAACATGTGTTTTTCCCTGCCACCAGCAGCTATCATTACATACTGTACAAAAATAAGACAATATGATGTCTATCAACTCAACGTTAGCACCTTAGTCGAAATCAGTGGGCAATCATTCTTGCTTACACACAATAAGTCTTACTTTGAAAAACACTCGCAGGTGCAAGGAAATGAAAGAGGAAAGGCACAAAGCAGGAAAAGGAAGTCAGAGGGATTGTACTTCCTCTGGTGTCTGAAAAGGCACTGATGAGCTCAGCTGTTCTATTGTCACTTCATAGGTTTTCTTACGGTCAAGTGAAAAACCAAAGACACAAAATAGTGGGATTGTTGACTTGGTTTGTTCATAGCCATAAAATCACCCAATGTGTTTAGTGTGGTAGTGTGTCAACAGAGGGAAATACACCAAAGATTGCAGCCCAATTCCTGTGTTGCTGTGGTAGATTAATTGACATGTTTACATTTTGGAATGTTTATTTCTAGGTCTTTTAATTTTTAATGTACAATGCCATGTCTTTTTATGCTTTTTATGGCTCTAGTCAGAAAATCTCTGCATTTCACTATCTCTACGAACACTGCTGCTGTCCAGAAAGCGGTCACAAGGGAACTCGATGAGGTCCCCTTCCTCCAGGGGTGAAAGTCGTGCGGGACGGCTGCTCTGGTAGCTGGTGAAGTCAGCTGACACCGAGGCGGCGGCCACTGCGGTACGAAACGGTCGCCGGGTGGAGTACATGTGCCGCACGTGCACCGCCGTCTTCCTCTTCTGCAGCCTCCTCTTCAGGCTCCGCCCCAGCCAGACGCCGCCGATGACCAGCAGCAGCATGGCGTTCCCAGCCAGCGTGGCCACTGTCACCAGCTCGAGGTCAGAGGTCAGCATGCCTCCACGGCTGAACCCCTGAGGAAGAGTGACCAGTCCTGTGCAATGTTCACGAGGGGCAACCTGGCACACAGATCCTCCCACTACTCCCTCCACACACACCATGTAGGTCACATCTGAGCCGAGTTCTCGAAGGGTTACGGAGCGAGCTGTGCCGCGAGCGTAAACGTACCGGGGGAAACGATCTGCGGTACCAAAGCGGTCAAACTGAATCCGATAGTGGACTTCATCTAGGCCTGGGCCAAGTCCTCCTGAGTAGCGGTGATGATCCCTCGTAGTCCAGTAGATGGTGACAGTACTGGATGTCACTTGATCCACTGACACATTAGTGATATAATGGTGGTTGAACTCACATGGATCTGTGATTACTGGTAGAGCCTCCTCGTGATTTGACCTCAGAAGGTCAAACTTTTCTCCTGACTGGAGTGTAGAGGCAGTGGTGAGCCCTGAGTTTGGATCAGTGGAGTTTCTGTCCTGGTTTCCTGTAGGTGTTGAAATAGCTGTTGGTTCAGTTCTGGATGTAACATTTGACCTTCGTCTACCATTGCCACGTTTCCCAGGAGCCTCTGCCGCAGGTCGTGACCTTGGGCTGAGTGGCCCTTTGTTTGGTTTCTTTCTTCCTGGTGAAGAAAATGGGTTGGCATCCTCTACACCTCCTTCGTCCTCCTGGATTTCCTCCTCCTTCTGTCCTTCTCTCTTCCTCTTTTCTCCCTCTTTTTTCATTATAACTCCAAAGCTGTTTGCCTGTCTCAGATCTTCACCTGTTTCCTCCACCTGGACTTCCTCACCTCCCTCCTCCTGCTTTATTGCATCCACCTTCCCTATCTCTTCCCCCTTCATCTTAACCAACACACCCCCTCCTCGGCTCTCCTCTGGCCCATCTTGGCTACTACTACACATATGGGTCCAGTTCCCGAGGGGCTGCAGCTGGGAGCTGTTCACATAGTCCAGATATTTCCCCCTTAGAGTTGCAGGGTGATGACACTGCACAAAAACAGTCAATAACTTTCCCTGAGAATGCGCAGCAGTCATCCATCTTTTCAGCTCCTCCAGGCGACAGTCGCACGTCCAGTTGTTGCCCTGGAGATCCAGGTTGTAAAGCACGTTGTTGAGGGCAAAAATGTCTCCTGACAGGCTGGTGAGCATGTTGTTCTTCAGCTTCAGTACCCTCAGATGTTTAAGATGCGAAAAAGCCAAAGAGTCCACGTTAGAAATACGGTTGCGACTGAAGTCCAGCTCCTCGATGCGTTCAAGAGAGTCCAGGAGACCGGCTGGGATTTCCTCCAGCTCGTTGCCATCAATCAGAAGCTCTCTGAGGCTGGACAGCCCCTTCAGAGCCCCGCTGTCCAGGCGGGAGATTCTGTTGTTGCTGAGGGACAGTTTGGACAGCTTTTTCAGATTTTGGAAGACGTGGTTTCCGACGTGCTGAATTTCATTTTCAGACAGCAGCAGGGTTGTCAGAGCTTTGAGTTGGGAGAAAGTTAGGGCATTGTGCACGGCTGACTGCTTGTTGTGGGCCAGGTTTAGAAAGCGCAGGTTGGTGAGTTTAGAAAAAGCGTTTCTGTGAATGTGCTGCAGCTTGTTGAATTCCAGATGGAGGTAATGTAGACTGGTCAAACTTTTAAAAACAGAGTCCTGCAGAACTTCTATTGAGTTGCCATCCAGACGCAGTTTAACAAGATTATCCAAGTCAGCAAAGAGCTCTGGTGTGATCTCCTTAATGTCATTATCATTTCCACAGAGAATTGTTAATTTCTTCAGGGATTGTAAAGTCCCAGCAGGTATACTTGATAAAATATTATGTCCCAAGTACAGCTCTTCTAACTTGGAGAGTTTCTCAAATGCTTTTGGGTGAATACTTTGTATTTGATTGTACTGTAAATTCAATCGTACAAGGTTACTATACCATGTGAAGTCAAAGGCAGAGATGTTCCCAATGAAGTTGCCCCCTAGGCTGAAGATCAGCAACTCCTCGGGCACACGCGTGGCAGGTTTGGGCACAGTGCGCAGCCCTCGGTTGGTGCACATGAGGTGCTGCGGGTGCTGACAGTCACAGCGCTCGGGACAAAGGATTGTCGCAGGTGAGGAAGAGATGAATCCATTGAGCGACAGCAGGATGAAGCAAATCCCCGTCAGGGAATTGCCGGTATCCATTCCCACTGCGCAGGAGAGACTGGTGCAGCATTCGCTTTCTGTTGTTCAGGTGCAGTCGCCCCTCTCCCCTCTCACGCTGCAGATAGACTCGTCCATAATCCACTTGTTGCTCTTAAACATGTAGAGAAAAGTGCAGTAGGCTACACGCGACTCCAGCATCACTTAGCAGCATTTTCTATAGAGCAAATTAATTTGTGCCGTGCTCTCTGATGCTGTCTGAGGGAACGCTCACCACCCCAAAAGCCTCCATCCCCCAAGTGGTCATCTGCAGCGAATTACAGAGTTCATGCGCAGAGCGTGCTCTCAAACACACACACACAAAGTCCCTCCCCCGCAACTCTGCGACCCTGCCAAAACCAGATGTGCACAAGTCTTGACACAGGAGATCCAGAGGGCTGCGCGTTCACGCATATAATCAAACCAATACACACGTAGGCTACACGAGATCTAGAGTGAGAGAAGGAGGGTGAAACTGAGCTGGACCTTATGACCGAGTTTTATGCGCGCCCCCGCAGCCACCGGGGGTCTGAGATCTGGATCGGATCCCGGGTATGGACAAAGCAGAAGGGGAAATTTACTTCCCACGAAATCCCGAGGGGATCCCGAGGTTTTGGATTTCCTTGCAGCAGGGTGCAGACAGAGCAAACTTACTCATGTAACAAGTATAACAAAAAGCTTAGATGGATATTGTCACCGGTTTTGATTGATATGAAAATGATAATTCATAAAACAGCTGTAGTGAATAGCTATTTGGTGCATCCTGATAGAAAAAGAACAGCCATTGCATAGAAAAAGTAAGTAAGTGTAATATATAATCAACACATCAACAGCTCAGTCCACACACTAAAGGCTACAGTAGAAACGCCATCATCATGCAGCAGCTTTAGCTGTAATTTACCATTCTCTCATTAACACGCTGGGCTGCTGGGGCCACAAAAGAGCACAGATGGTTCACATTTGCAGATGAGGAATTTGGGAAGCTAAGTGTGTGTTAAGACTGACGAAAATAGGTGCCAAATCTCAGTTAAAGATCTCCCCAACTTGAAAGTTTGGAAATAAATGCAGGGCGAGTCGAGCACCATTCCCTGCTTGTACATGAAAGTGTATGCTCCAGTTCAGTCTGAAAAGCATGCAATGTTACTGCAGAAACATCTGCACATTTATGGCACATGAGGTAGAGTGCTTACTAACTGAAATACAGTACACACATATCAAGGTTTTCCCATCTTTTCTTATACAGCTCTATTCAGTCAGCACCCATTGCATGTTTCCAATCATTTCTACCTGGATAATATTTGGCCAGGTTATTTATATAAAATTG